AATTATTGTTCTGATGTTTGTTTTTCTGATCACTTTGGTTTTAATTAGTTATTTGAAGATATTAAAAGAGGGTTTCGTGTCACGATTGACAGCTGAGTTCTGCTCGTGATTGGGTTGACCTCGATACCGCGGCGCCAACCCCGATCAATACTGCGCAGACTCTGGCTCCAAATGCAGAAAGATGGCCGCAGCCGTATCTGTAATATTTTGCCTCCTGAATCACCGCCGCCTCAGGAGAGGTTGCTCACGCTGAGGTTTCTTCCATTTATAACTAACAGTATGAAACGAATGTGACTCCACGGAGGCGATAATGTTTGTTCTTGTTGCATTTATTGAACTAAAATCGCTCTCCGTGTTCCTCGCCGTACTTTCAGCTGCCGGCTGCGAGCAGCTCGGTGAGTTCAGAGCAGCTGATGGAGGAAGAATTACAGGTTGAGGGAGAGGAAATGATTTATAACCACCTCGACGGCTGCTTTTACTGAACTGTCAACTCTTTCGCTCCAAATTGCCGTGGTGGCAGATTCCCCCCCGACGAACGGCGGCAGAGTGTTTGTTGTTTTCTCTCTGTTGTGCAGAATTTGCTGAGTCCTCTGTGTGCACAAATAAGAGTCGTGTCACCTTCAGTGCTGTCAGGTTGTTTTACAGGCTCCTATAACAATGTGTTCAGAGCGCAGCAGATTATTTTCTCGCTCCTGCGTTTGCTGGTTTGTGAGCAGAGCGTCACTGAGAACAGTTCACTAAAAGTAAAACTTAACAAATACAGTAATACATTTTGATTTAGCAGGATGTTTCATTGGTTTTTAAATATGTAAATATATGAGCTGGATGATGGTTGAACTGGTGCAGACTGTAGAGTTTAGGTCTAATAAAGCCTTTAATGTGTCTCTAGCTCAGTGGTTGCTAGCCTTCTTTCCTTAAGGAACACCTTTCCTATCATTTATTAAACTAACCTCTAAATAAGTGATGCATTTTATATATATTTCATGTTACATTCAAAACTGTACAATGAACCCAAACAGTGAACTCAGTAACTGCAGGAAGTTTGTGTAAATGATCTGGATGAATTTTGATTATTTCCTGTTTGAATTGCTAACAATTTCTAGCATTTTTAATAGTGATTAACAACATTTTACACTGATTTTATAACTTTAAAGTAGATAAAACGGATAAAAAAAACAAGGTAAAACCTCTTTCCTGCCATAAATACCAGTGTACACGTGTTAAAAAAAAGGACAACATTTTTATAAACTAATGGTTTTCATTATGCCAGGTTTTAAGGGGTGCAGCAGCCTCCTCAGAACCCCTACAGACAACCCAACAACACGGGCTCCTTCCACGGTCAGTGTTAGCAATAATCAATACAGTCCAGTTGGGTTTAAGAAAAGATCCTAAGTTAACTTCAAATAACTCAACTTTGACTTCTGGTTTCATACGTAGCATCGTTCTTTACACGAGGCGAAACGTGACACTGACACACCACAGACTTTTATTGAGTCCAGATCGTCTACGTGAGCAGCAGCAAACACTGCAGTGGTTCCGCTACAGGACACACAAGGACACGTCAAGGTTCATGTAAAACAGGACAGATAACAATATACACACACACACAAACACACACACACACACACACAGACTGAAACCTCTCCAGCTGACACATCTGAAATTTCTATTTTATTTTATTTTCTGTGTAATTTTAGATTCTATTTGCTCTTTGCACATATTATGGTATCCTACTGTATTCTGTTTACCTTGTAACTTTTTCCATTTTTCATTATTATTATTATTTTATTATTTTATGTTTGTGAATTAATGTATTTCATGAGATTCCTCCACGTACCACTAGAGGCCGCTACCACCCGTGGTACCCGGGGGTTACTGTACTGTACTCGAGTATTTTATTTTTACACAAATATCTAAACTTTCTTCACTTACATTTTAAAATTCGAGGGGAATGATTGATTATTATTTTTTGTGTGTGTTTTAATTATTAGATACTTTTTCATTCCAAAAAAAACAAACATCCAGCAGCCTCTCTGTTCCTAACCCAAACTATTTGTGAATGTATCACATTTTATTCTGAAGATTTTACATAATTATGACATAAAAAGTTAAAAACACAGTCGAATTTTTTGTTTCATGTGAATGCAATAATACGCTTCTGTAAGTGATCCGCACGTCTTCAAGTCCCACGAGAGCGTCTTCAGAGCGTCTTCCTGCCCGACGTTGTTTACTTATCATTAAAAAGGAAACAAAACGATGTTTGTAAAATCTCCTCTAACTGACTTTCTGTCTTGGTGTCATAATGTTGATAATCCAGAGTCTGCAAGCGTGTATTTTATTTTGAAAATGAACTGGAGTCTCTGCTCTGTTCCTGTGTCCGACTTCCAGAGCCTTGTATAGACGGGCGCCATCAGCTCCAGCGACCGCAGCGGAGCCTGAACGCATCGCGGCCGTGCCCGGTGGAGTTTGGGGGTTAAAACAACCATAAAACTAACAGAAATGTTTAATTTCTATCAGGTTTTCCATCTTCTGAGCTCCTTTAAACACTGTGTCTTCTTCTGCAGTGGTTTAATGGCAGCAACTGTTTCCCTCTTCCTCTCTGATCTGTTATTACTTCCTGTTCCTCCTCCTCAGACTCTTAAACAATCTCCATCAGAGCAGCCGATCTGCCCGATAATCTGAATCTTATTAATAAGACAAAAGATGATAAAATTAAAAACAAAGTAAAAACTGCTTGAAGCAGTCTGTAAAACTCAGACACACACACACACACACACACACACACACACACACACACACACACACACACACACACACACACACACAGCACTTCTCATTTCCCATTTTCTGCATCAGGGTTATTTTAATTGAATGTAATTTAGTTAAATAACTTATTTATTTTCTGCATCGCAGCAAATTTAATTCTGTTTAAAGAGTTTTAAATTTGTCGTTATTTCCTGTTTTAATTCAGTTTAAACTTTTCTTTTTCTCTTTTCTGGAGTTTTTTTTTTGCCGTTCGGTGTCGTGATGTAACGATGTAATGACCTCAGGACTCACGGGTCACAGGCTTGAGGAGTAATAGATTACATGTAACCGAGTAAAGGAGCATTAACTGTAATCCATTACAGTTACAGAGTTGCTCGGGCTTTAAGTCCTGTTTAGGACTTGGTGCATTTCTGCCTCTTGTGGTCACAATTAGTATTACAACAATAAACAGAAAAAACTTTGACCTTTCAGGGCTTCCGTATGTAACTGATTGAGATTTGTTTCTGATTGTTTCTTTATTATTATTTACTTATTGATTATTCTTTCATACTCTCGTCATCGTCCACTTTTTCCTCTCTTTCTGTCTATAGTTTTCTCTCTCTTCATGTCTTCAGCTCCTATAAATCCTGATCATGTGATTTTATTCACCCACACTGAGGTCTGTTATTTTCTGTCTGGTGTGTTTTGTGCAGAATAATCCAAGCTGAGGCTGGACGGAGGGGAGGGCGGAGGACGGAGGGCGGAGGGGAGGCCGGCAGCTGCACTCATCCTCTCCAAATGCCTCTTCAACTGGCTGAAAGCTGAACACAACAGGGTCAAACTGGAACCCTCTCACAGATTTTAATCCGTGTCTGGAACCGTAAACGACTCTGAGACAGGCGGATCGCTTCCTGACCTCGGAGGCCGCCATCGAATGGGAAATCTTCTCGCCGCTGCACGCCAGCCTCAAATGGAGAGTGGAGGTTTGGTTCACGTTCTCGCAGAGGGCGACCAATTTCCTCATCTCGGCTGAGAACGTGCGGTCTGAGTCGCTCGGGGAAATGTATTCAGCAGCTGGGAGGACATCTGAGGTCGTCCAGTGAATCGTTCTCCGGCATCAGGACCCGAATATCTGCTCGGTTTCCAGGAAGCTTTCATATAAATATCCACTCAGCTGTTTGGGATTTACTCACACTGTAAACAAAACAGCTGAGGAAACTCATAATTCCAACTGTCTTCATTAAATATCTTTAAGTTTTAAGTCAAACTCGAACTTTCAAGTTGTTAAATAAAGATAAGATGTTCCTTTATTGATCAGCAGCACACGGGAAGGTAGTTCAAAGAGCATAAAAAGGGAAAAAATACAATAAAATAAAAATATAATGATTAATTATAATAAAAATATATACAATAAAGGGGGATATGTGTGCAGTGTTACAGGGTATTGTTAGGGTACAGGTTAATAGTTAACAGTCTATAACTAAAAAAGAATAATTGGTTGAGGATATTTACTTTTCTTCTTTATAAAAGCTAAAATCTTTGAGTTTTACAACATAAAATATGTATTTATTATTATTATTATAAATTACTGTTATTCAAAGAAACAGATTTTCATTATTTTGCTGCTCATAAAATTAAAAAGCTGCAATTGTAAATATTTGATTATTAACAGTTTTTCACTTTAACTGTTTTTGAAATACAGATTTCCTGGTTGTTAAAACTTCAATTAAATTTGCATTATTTTTATCATTATTTTAAAACTTAAAGCTGCAGTAGGTAAATTTTATAAAAATACTTTGTCACATTTTCCTTTTTTCTTCTTGATTTTAATTTATGTAGAGACTTTAAAAACGTACAGACAGTAGGCTTTTATCTCATTATAAGAGTACGCTGTTACATCAGGGAGAAGAAAACACTGAATTTGTCAGAAAAGAAGCATATTAAGTCTGTATGATTGTTAAAAATGATAAAAGTACATAATACAGGCAGATAATTACATTAAAATATCAGGAAAAACTGATCACTGATCAATATCCACAGGAAATAATCTGCTCAGAATTCATCCAAATCGCTAATTTTACATAAATAGTTATTGAGTTCAGTTTTTTAAAGTTTATCAGTTGTTACGCACTGAATATAATAGAAATATACATAAAATATGTAGTTTATTCAGGGGTGAGTTTAGTTAATGATCCATTAAGGAAGAAGGTTTGGGAACCACTGCTTTAAGGAACCAATCAGGAGACGTTCGGTACCTGGTATAGTGGTCGTCAGGGTATCTGTCAAACTCCGTCTCATAGTCAGAT